TTATAATTAAATATCTACTTTACTTGCATACTAGAAAATTAATTGCAGAAGTATTAAATTCTATAATTAATGAATTGGAACTAACAAATAAAGTTTTCACTTTTATAACTAATAATAAAAGTAATATAGTTAAGGCTATAAAATATATATCTAATATTATTCAAATTCTATATATAGCTCATATCTTGTAGTTTGCTATTAAAAAAGAATTGTTAAATACTGAACATATTATAGTATATGCAAAAAGGCTTATATTATTTTTTACTATATCTAAGCAAACAGAAAGGTTAATCAATATTCAAAAAAATTTGTATTAATCTAAAAATATAGTAAGTATTGAATTTAAAATTTCATTAGAGTTAAAATAAGAATTTAAGTTAAAGTAAGGATAGCATATTACTATTAAAATAAAAAACTAATCAATTATTTAATTATTTCAGAATTTAGAAAATAATAACTATTAATTATGTATTATTGTTTAACTTAAAGAGTAGTACTTTTGGTATGTGAGATAGGGCTAGAGAGTTTAAATAGAGAATCTTCTAAGAGATTTCAGGTATAGCAGCTAGTATAGAACCTTTGAGCAGACTACTTAAAATAGACAACCTAAAATTGTACGTGTGGCTAGTTATACTCTCACAATATATATCACTTCTGAAATTTACGAAATTAATAAAAGTTAAGCCGATGGCATTTGTATAAAGTAAAAAAAAAAAAAAAAAAATTATGTATTATTACTGATGTCTCTATATGATAGAATTTATTCTATTTTACCTAGAAATGACTTATACAAATTCAAAGTATTATTAGCATAATAATAACTAATTTAACACTAAATAATAATTTGCAAGCTAAGAAAAATAGTTATTATTTAGAAAAAATTAATTTGACAAGTAATGAATAGAATACAATATTATTGTTAATTGCAGTGCTAAAACCTTTTGCTGAAGTAACTAAACTGTTAGGAGGTAGCAATTATACTACTATTAGTTTTATGTATAATGTAAATATAGTAATAAAACAAAAGCTTTAATTTACTAGAATTTTAGATATAGACTTTAATTCCTCTAATAATGTTTTTAAAGATGATGCTAATTATGATAATAATAGAATATAAAAAAATAATGTATTAAGTGCAAAATATCAAATTAATGTTAATATTCTACAAAATTATAAAAATTTTGAAGAAAAGATAAAGTTAGTGCTATATAATACTATGATATATTATTGAAATATGCCTAGTAACAAAGCTGTACTAGTAACTCTTTTAGATTCTTAATATAAACCTTTTTCTTTTATACCAGAATATTTAAAAAATAAGGCATTTGAATTGCTTAAAAATAAATATGAGGAATCACAGGTTTTATATAGAATGGAAGATAATAATAATATACAAAATAATTCAAATTCTTTATTAGTCTCAATATTTCATAATAGATGCATATAGTCAGAAGTTTCAGATTATTTTGGAATTCAGGAAATTTCATAGGATTAGTGTTCACTAGCCTAGTAGTACACTAACCAAAAACAGTTCTTCATATTGAATAAGTTAGCCTGAAAGTATTTAGCTATTCTAGCAGCTTTAACTGCAAGTAAAAGACTTTTTAGTGATACTAGAAATATGATGACAGTAAAAAGAATATTACTCTTACCTACACCTTTGAGCATCTAGTATTTTTAAAAAATAATTAGCAGCTCACTAGAAGTATATTTCTAAATACAAAATAAGAAACTAAATAAAATAATATTGGTGTTAAGATAAAAAGAAGGCTTTCAAATATTTTATGAAAGCAGCTTAATTAGGAAATCTAGCTGTAATGAATAATGGAATTATTATATAATTGAAGTAAAATAAATTACTGAAATCACTTGAATGTTGTATAATTTCTTTAATGTTGTATAATTTCTTTCAGATTTGATTTTAAATGATTTATGTGCTTCGATACACATAATATTACTATGTTCAATTTTTCATATACTATCTGTTCAGATTACAAATATTAGTCTATAAAACAGAACAACGCTCTGATATATTCACATGCATTGTTTAAGCTAAACAGCATAAATAAATGGAGGTAAGTCAATAGAAATCAAGCAAATTGTTTTTATTGAAATTTTTTTGAAACTTTAAACAATAATAACTCAACAAAAGCTTTATCAAATTTAATAAAAATTTTTTTAAATTAATTCTACAATTTGTAATATTTATTTTAAAAAAATTTTTATTAATTTTGATAAAGTTTTTGTTGAGTTATTGTTGATTAAAGTTTCAAAAAAATTTACTTAGAAAAAATTTGCTTGATTTCTATTGACTCAACCTCAAATTATGTGAGATTTAACTTTAGTATTTATAAACTTGATTAGCATGAGATCATATTTAATAAGAGGTTGTTTTTACGTATAAAGACACTTATGTGACACAAATATATACAGTATATAAAATTTAAAGTTGCAATTAATATTTACAACATGTTGGTAAACCAAATATTTATTGAAAAACCAATAAGTAGCTGCGCAACACAGTTGCGCGAAACCAGGAACGGGGAAGTAATGAATACAGTGCTAGATACTATGAAAAGATCTTTATAAGGGTATTTTTAGTAAGCGCGCTTCAGACATGCATATGAGTTAACCATTGTAATTCTTTGATTTAGAATTGACTATCTATTATAGAAAAAGGATGATATGCACATGATTGTAATTCTTTGATTTAAAATTAACAATCTATTATAGAAAAAGGGATGATTGTAATTCTTTTATTCGGAATTGACAATCTATTATAGAAAAAGGATGATTGTATTCTTTGATTTAGAATTGACAATCTAGTATAGAAAAAGGATGATTGTAATTCTTTGATTTAGAATTAACAATCTATTATATTCTTATAAATTTTCATATAATTTAAAGGATCGTACGATATTACCTGTATGTGTTTTCTCTGTTTGGGTAAGTAAATTTATAATGCTCAATATTTACGTGGACTATTTTAAATTACCATTTACGCTTAATTTTTTTTAATGCATTACCATTTTAATCGCATAATATATCAATTGTCCAACATTTATTATCAAATATAAATAAAACAATTAACAATATGGGAGTCAATAGAAATCAAGCAAATTGTTTTTATTGAAATTTTTTTGAAACTTTAAACAATAATAACTCAACAAAAGCTTTATCAAATTTAATAAAAATTTTTTTAAATTAATTCTACAATTTGTAATATTTATTTTAAAAAAATTTTTATTAATTTTGATAAAGTTTTTGTTGAGTTATTGTTGATTAAAGTTCCAAAAAAATTTACTTAGAAAAAATTTGCTTGATTTCTATTGACTCAACCTCATATTGAGTTTTTTTAATTACTCGAATTAGGCATAGCGCACACTAGCTTTACCACTAGAAATTCGGCACGAGATATACAGTACATATATTAATATTCTCGAATGATCGGCATGCACCTTAACATAACGATAATATATAGAACTCGAGTTGACCGCAATAGTCAAGTCATCGCACATATATAAGGTGTGAAAAATAGACAATGCATAACAATATGTGACGAACAAAGTCACACCGACAAATCAAATGCTGAGAATTGTACAGACACATTAACTTGCCTGTAAACCATACACTACGTACTTTGTACTCCGTTCCTGGTATTAGTTAACTAATTGATTAGAAAATTTTTAAATAACACTAACAGCAAGCAATATTAATCCAAAATCGGGAAAAAAAGTGTAGCTTATTCTAAAAACACAAATATGTAATCCGATTATAAAATTTGTATAGCCAAAATCATTAGACACAAAGGTCGAACATATGATGGTATGTATGTGATTATGTGATATCCGCCAGTTATCTGATATCCATAGGATTAACTAGATATCTGTAGGGTTATCCAGTTATCCGAGGGTTTATCTGGTTATCCGCAGAATAAAACTGATGGTTATCCGGATATAGCTTTTATAAAACGGGTACAGTAAAACGGGTAACCGGATATCCGGGTCCAAGCACTAATTTTATTATTCGGCAGAGATAATAGTTTAAACTATCATCTCTGTCCAATAATTTTATTATTGGATAGCAAACCATAGTAAGCTATCGGATAAATATGTTATCAGGCATGCTGATACTGTCTTATAATTTATTTATTTGGTCAAGGCTTTTAAGGTCAGCCTAAGAAATAGAATTCCTTCGGAATTCTATTTCTTAGGCTGACCTTAAATCTTCGACCAAATAAACCCGTTATCAGACAGTGCCTGCCTGATAACTTATTATTATTGTTAGTCTAGTTTTATTTTTAATCAATTTTTAACTATCATTAATGAATATCAAGTACTAACGTTTAAAGAGTAATTCCGAAGGTATTACGTACAGTTACATTATTTACGACTACACTAACTAAATACGGAAATTAGGTAAATATATGAATAGCTAAATTAGGAGATAAAATTAATGAATACTTATATAATGTTTTAGGCGAAGCAGTTACGATAGTAACACCGGCTTACTGAATATCGGACTAATTAACACAATCTTGACATCGAATCAACACCACTCCGTTTCTGGTATTTGTGACTTTTTCCAAAACTATTTTTATTTCAGACTTGCTGGATACACAGTATGATTTGCCTAAGTAATTACCGTAATAGAGAAATAAAAAGAATCATTAGAATGACCAATAGGCAATTTGCTAGAAATAACGCTATTTTGATTGTAAACAATGATTATAATTTTGAAAACTCTGATTATGTGTATACCGATACATGTATTAATGGTCAATGAATATTGTTTATTGTTTATTGACACACTATTTAAATTTAATGAACAAGGTCATTGGTAACTCTGGATAAAAGAGCAGGTTTTTCGTAGAATTTATATTTTTAAAATCTCAGCATCAGCCGATCTCAACTTCAACCGCGATAATTATTAGTAAAAAAAGGTCACTTACACAGTAAAACAAAATATTCATCTGCAGTCACAATATTCTTTGATCGGTTATGAACTCTACTGCGAAAAAGCCGTTAATTTGCCGTCCGATTCCTCATGAAATAGTGAATTGTACATTGTCTTTTCTTTCTCGTAATTGCATAAAATCTCTTTATTAACCCTAACTGTCCTATAGTTGCCATCGAAACTATTGAAACATTCGACGAAAGTGACCTTCGTATTCGTGATGGTATGATATTTACGGGTGTCATGCTATTAATAATGGCAGCTTATACCTTTTGGAGTGATAGAAAACCCGGACGTAAAGTTTCACGCGCAAGAATATATGTTACTCTTTACGCCATTTGCACAGCGCTTTTCGCCTTTATCCGTGCAACAATTGATACAAACAAGGT